GTAGACAAATGACGAAAATTAACATGTTACGAACGCTTACTCCCAAGCCCCCTGACTAACAAAAGCATTCCACCAAATCTCAAAGAACCACCCACGGTCTAGTCCATGTCGCTAAATCTCTCAGCCATCTTCAACTAATTTGCCATGGCAAAACCAGTAAAGCAACACAAATGGGAGCATTAATGCGCCGCTACCACAATTAACTTGCCGTTTTTCATGGAATTAAATTAACAGAGAAAAAACATACTCCCTATTTTGGTACAAACTATACAAAAAAGACCGCCTGCGAAAGGGAGAATGCCTCCTTAAGTGTCATAACTACATCTCTCTTGTAAGACAATTAGCAAATCGTGAGGGTTTTGAGGCCCTAGTTTTCAAAATAACGGCAAACCAACACAGCCTCAGTATTACAAGAAATTAAATCTCCCAGCTCAACAAAGCCTAACGACTATGAAAACTTCAGTGACATTGCAATGGTCATTGGAGACGCCAATGCCCACTCATTCCAGTGGTTTTCATTTATAACAGAAGACAATAAAGTTGCATATTTCGGTGAAGAATTTTTGACTCAATTTCCACCTAGTTAAATGACCATAATCAGTTCCGCTTATCATTCGGTAACACCTAAACTACTTCTTCGTACTTTTCTCTAGTTTTTTTAAAACAATTTTCTTCTCGTTAATTTAGAAATTAATTCACAGATCAATTTCTAATTCTAATAAATTTTCTTTTAATTTAGCAAATCCCAGTCTCTGCAAAAAATTTTTTTTTATATTTTTGAAAAATCAAATACGGAAAAACTTTTTACAGAGACAAAAAGCAATTTTTTATTTCTCTTAAATATACTTGAGGTAAGCAAGGCTGAACACTGTCCATGAAAAAACATTTGAAGGCAAGAAGAAACCATTTATTTGCAGGCCGTCCAACTTTTAACTCTGGCTTTAAGCAACTAAACAAAAAAATTGGCAAAGGAGTGAGAGAAACTCAGACTAAAAAACCCATCAGCTATCAACTTCAAAATCTTAAAAATTATCTCAAAAAAGAAAACGGATAAAAAGTGGCACAACTTTCTTCGAATGTTTAGCCATCACTCGTCGTCCAAGGAGTTTTTGGAAAAATGACCGCTCCTTTGAGGAAAAAAATGTTGGCAGGTTGAGTCCCTATCACTGTTGAAGGACAAAAATTCTGAAAGCAAGAGAAAATGGCAACCGCTTTTAACGTGCAGTCAGATCGTTTTAAGGACAAATCGGACAAAGAGCAGCAGAATGTTTTAAGAGCAAAGAGCATAGAATGCTTTAAAAACTAATGTTGATTGAGCCACTGTACTTCTTGTCATGTCAAACCAAGGCGCTCATAGTAGCAGGATAACCAACCAGAACGCAGGGACTTGCCAGTTTACACCAAAAATAGGGACCACGTTTTTATTGTTTCTTTTTAGCCTATTACGAAAAATCAACAAAATCACTCAAATCTGGGACACCTCAAATATTGTAGAAAAGATTGTGAAGAACTCAAAAAGAATAACTCAAAAAACTCCACTACACGATTGCAATACCATTGCTTATCTCCAGGGCGATGAATGAACAAAAAATTTGAAATGAAGTTTCAAAAAACCCAAGAAACATTTTAAACTTACAGAAAAAGTAAAAACCACGAGCAAAAACGGAGCTTCCCACCATTTTTGACACCAAACAAATGAAGCAGAGCACATTAAGCAAAAGGAAAACCAATAGGTCAACATTATTCAAAAACCTCTACAAAAAATTTCTGGATCGATTTTCTCGAATTCTACATCAGTGTCTTACATCTGTGTTCTACATCTGTGTATCTCTAATGCTTTTGACAGAGTTTGCCACCGTATTCTATTGGAGCTGCTCCAAAGAAGCAGTGTTAGAAAAATCTTAACAAAATGGATACAAATTATCTAGACTAACTAGTCCCTCAATTCTAACACAAAAAATCGTCACACCTCGGCATAGAGTCCAACGTATCCATCACGACCCCAACTTATGCGCGTATTTGTATCTCTACAAATTCCTTGATTCAGCGAAAACTGGTGCTTTTAGTTATCTTACATCTGTTAGGCGTGATGTATCAATTAAAAAAAAATTGTTTGAATTGAACTTTCAAAACTTTTCATTTCTTAATTTGTCAAATTCGTCGGAAAAAATTTAGTCTTAACTAAATCCCGTCATTGCAATTTCTTTGATACCTTGTTGCAATTTTTGCCATTTTCCTCAATTAACTTTTTTTACAGATATTCTCTCGTAAAAATGATTTCTTTGCTATTTTCAAAGATAGGGGAAGTTTTGTGATAGCTTTTTATTCAATTAGTGTATTTCAACAGGTCATGTCTGAATATGACATGCACATAGCAATCTCGTTTGGAGTGAGCGAAATCAGTGTAATTAAGTTTAAAAACTTTTAAAATTTAGTTGAAAATTATTCTAAAAAAAATTTTTCAGCTTTAGCTCAATGAACCTGAAAATTTGTTTTTTTACAGAGATGCTAATAACATTGCTGTTTTTATGATTCATTATGACTTAAACATGGATGTATTTTTTATGATTCATTCGTGAAAATTGAATGCCAATCGAAATGAAATTTCATTAATGAACCGCAACTGAAGCAGTCATTGCTATAATTTTCAAGATTGCAGTTTTGATTTCAGCAAACTTTCTGGTAGTTGCTGTCAGAATGTTGCTTTGCACAACACAAATTACGGTCGAATTGTAAACTGCAAACCATAAATAGCATCTTTTCAGATTTACATAACTAAAAGTTGACACGGTATGAAGAATTGGACATGAATTTTTTCCAGTTTCAGCTAATTTTGTAGTTTCGTACTGGTCAACTATCAAGATTGCTTACTATGTGAAAAGCATAACTTATAAAATCACGGCTTCATTTGTTTTCGAAAAGGGTAAGATGAGTCGTAAATGAAGCAGACACTACTTTAGTTTTTTCCACTTGCGTATCTTGATATTCAAGATAGCAGTTTTGATTTTAGCAGAAAGTTTTGTCACGAAAAGTTTCTGGAAACTTCTCAAAAAACTACCCCTCAGAGTGTTGCTTTGCACAACAAGCAATTCGGGAGAGTTGTGTACTGCAAACCATAAGTTTCGTTCTTTCAGATTTTCATAACTAAAAGGCTCCCCCGTAGTGAACAATTGAACATATATCTTTTTGTTCCGACTTTCGATACGAAAGTAACGGAATATTTGTGCTCGGGGTGGGTTTTTTTTTCTTCAGACAAATTTCGACTTTTTAACTAGCCATTTTTGACGGAACTTTTTCTTATCATTCAAAAGGTATTGTTGTCCTGAGCTTAAGTTTGAAAAAATATTTCACCTGAGATCATTTTTCGTAGAGTTATGATGGTTTAAAGATTGCCATTTTGGCCATTTTGACCAATTTGGGACAATTAACGCGCAATAGAATTCGCGCTAATAACGCGTAAGCGGATATTTAATCCGTCTTATAAATCGTTCCAAATTGGTTGAACGAAGTTTATTTGCCATAATTGATTTGTTACAAGGAACGAAATCTATCTTTTTCTATTTTATATGGCGTGTGGCGGGATGATTTTTATAAAAAAATTTCAAATTTAAGAAAAAAAAACATTTTATTTTATTTTATTTGATTTTATGTTATTTAATTTTTTTATGTTACAGTGCTGATTTAAAGTAACCGGACAAAACGCGTTAAACTTGAAACTTAAAACGCATTTTTCTCAAATTGGTTTGAGTTTAGGTGAAAACTTATGAAAACAAAATTTGCTTAGAATTTTATCAGAATTAATATAGTGTAATTCGTTTTGCAAAATTCGGGTCCAAAATTTTACCCCGAAAATGGGTCATTTTGGTTTTTCTTAGTTAATCAAAAATTACGCCAAAAATACCACAGACATAATCACAGGGTTCAAAAATTAAGTCGATCACAGACATAATTATATCAAAGTGAGCCCCTTATGTAGCTCAACAAACTTTAAAAAGGGTATTTTCTCCCAAAAAAAATGCATATTGTTTAAAAATTGTTTGTAAATAAAAAGTTGGTATTTTATATATTAAAAATGACCTTTTTTGTCTATCAAACAAAGAATAAATTAATTTATACAATATTTTGGAGATTATACCCTTCTTAAAGTTTGTTGAGCTACGTAAGGGGCTCACTTTGATATAATTAGGTCTGTGATCGACTGGGTATTTTTGGCGTAATTTTTGATTAACTAAGAAAAACCAGAATGACCCATTTTTGGGTTAAAATTTCGGACCCGAATTTCGCAAAACAAATTACTTCATATATATTTTGCTAAAATTCTAAGCAAGTTTTGTCTTCATAAGTTTTCACCTAAACTCAACCCAATTTGAGAAAAAAACGTTTTAAATTTCAAGTTTAACGCTTTTTTTCGGTTAATTTAAATCAGCACTGTATTACTGCTGCTCCATAAACCTTAAAAGGCAGTCGGAACATTCAGGGCTTCGCCCTGATACGAGCAGTCTTGTTTAAATTTCAGCTACGTTTGCACTTTCGTACTGGTTAACCTTCATCATTGTGTATCTCGTGAAAAGCATAATGCATAAAATCACTGCCGCGTTTTTTTACAAAAAAAGTAAGACCATGATTTTTCCATCGTTGTGGAATAAATGTAGAACCCCGGATTCATCGATGTCCCATCAATGTCTCATCAGTGCATAATCGATGTCTCAAAACTGAAATTGACTATAAATGGGTCATATCCAAGTGCTTGAAATTGCATTAAAAGTTGAATAAATGTAATGTGCATAATTAAAACATAAAATATCTATGCAATATTTGGTACATCTCTTAAATTGATCAAAACACTGCAACAAAAGTGGTAAATTTGTGATTGTCAATGCAATTTCAACCCGGGTACTGAGGAGAATAAAAAACGTGTCTGGAATTTGTTATCTGAGAGAGAGGCTATGTCGATTTTAGCCTTCCCTGGTCATTCTGGACTACGTTCTCAATATATCGGAAGAATTATTTAGAAAAACGTTAATTGTTTTTATAAAATTAGTTTTCACTGGTATCACATTGAAGTCACAGTATAAACGCAAGCTTTATTTTTCCCGTTGGTGAATGCTTCGTCCATAATTGCAGGATAGAAACCGCCCTCGTCTTCCTCTCCTCTCCCCCTTTCACTATCATCTTCATCGGGTGTTTTTGGGCGCATGAAAATTGGACATATGGGGATAAAACGTGCCAATGGTATTCTATCCAGGTACTTGGTGATATAAGGGATGTCATATGTGGAGATGTTCGATACACCAGCAGTGGCTGTAGCTTGTGTTTTGTACCCTCGGTTTTGAGGCTTGCCCGTGGAATGATCGGTGGCAGAGATGGGTCGCTTACTTGATTTTTTGTCCGAGCGGTTGGCGGGGGAAGTTCGACTGGGTTTTCGGGTATCGGATCCCGGATGTAGGGATGAGTGTTGCAGACGTCTCCACTTGTGAACTCCTCTGTCTTCGGCACTTCCAGGGATCAGGTTGTCCAGCACACAACCACACAGACCCCCGATGAACATTCCAGTACTGAGGAGGACTTCTAAATATAAAGAAACTTGAAAAGATTTATAAACTTGCATCAAAACATTAGTACCTCTTCTGCTGATTTTGATGAGAATCAAAAGAAATTTTGATAGCGTTGTGGTGCATCGGCAGTGATGGTACCCAGCAATCAAGTGATTGCGGGTTCAAATCGCACGTGCGTTGCAATTTAGGTGAGCACAGAGATCTACAAGATAAGACAGTCATAGCTTAGTTTTGATAGCAGAAAACAAAAAATCATATGCGAGTTAAATTTTGCTGGTAAATATTTTTGAGCCACATTAAAACTATAGCAAACGCTCTGCATCTCCAAATTATTCAAAACGAATTTCGATCTTGCCCATTGCTATTCAAAATAGTAGGTGTTTGGAAGTTTGAAAGAATGAATTAATTATAAATTCCCTACTCACATATAGGAACAGACACAATAGTACTCATCATGAAAAAAACAGTACGTTTTTTTTACTTGGAGGGTCTAAACTAAAATTGTGTTTAGCTTATGGGACCTCTTTAACTACTATATCCCCCCTCGGGTACCTAGCAACGAATAACCCCCCCCCCCTCCCCCCTAGAAGTAAATCATCGGTTAAACATGTGAGAATTTTATACCTAGTTACGAATATCCCCCTTTGCAAAAGGAGGGACATACTTAAAGAGATTCGCTATATGGAACGTGGTTTTGAGAGATGTTGTGTGGCTTTACCTATGATCTGATCCGCTTCGTCGTTGCCAGTGTCGACGTAGTTTGGGTTCTGGGCGATCCACTGGGGGAGGGAGAGGCCAGCGAAGAGGGAGAAACCGAGGATGTAGAGGTTGCGACTGTTGTTCAGGTTCACGAACTGCAGATTGGACAGACCTACTGCAGTTATCATCCCAAACATGCAGAAGAAGTTTGCACCTGAATAAAACAAAAGTCGATTTATGGACCAAGTTAAATAAGCCCACCCGAAGCCGTTTGGGGGGATGTTAAACTTGGTTCTAAGTTGAAAACTTTCAGCCAATCACAGAAAAGAGAATTTTACGTGCAGCGCTAAGCAAACTTGATACGAATTAAATGCTGGTGTGGAAGACTTGGTCTATCCGGAGGGGGGGGGGGGGGGACTTGTGGGTTGTTGGTTTTGGTTTGGGGGGGGGGGGGGTGATGTTAACTTGATCCCGATTTATAAAACAACAAGGGTGCAGTTAAGCTGGTCGTGCCGTTGCTAGCGGTGTAATCGAGGCATATTGTGACAGTCCGAATAAATAGAGTTATCGCGTACCAAGGGAATTATCGAAACTGTACTCGACTAAACCTCCAATACTTTTCAGGGTTTCAAACTCTTAATTAAAACTGGCGATTTTTGAATTGTGACAGAACTGTGGATGCAAGCTAAAAAAAATGTTTGGACGTTTTTGAGACATGATGGGATAATTTGAGGGAATTGTTTTTCGAGAATAGGTGAATTTCAGAGCGGATATAGGATTTTCTCGAGGGGGGGGCGAATTTTCATTTTGACCTTTTATTCGAAAATTTTGACGACCTTTTTTTTGACGACCTCCTAAAGCACTTAAAAGACGTTTTTGAGCACTTTTTGAAAAATTTTTACAAAAAAATTGTTTTGTTTTTGGCGCCCGCTCCAACTCAAAGTTAGCATATATTGGCGCCGAAGGCGTCTTTAGAAAAATTTCAGGGTCGGTCGGCCAAAAATGGATTTCCTAAAAAGTACCAAAGGGTGGACCCTTTGAGTCTGCAGGGGGTCGAATCCCTGAGTCGAGTCCATTAAAATCCCTTATAATTGATTACAATCCAATTCTTGTTCATAATCGATTTTTTTCACAAAATTATGAATATTGATTATTTTTAGCAAGTCTGTACTCTATTTTTTGCACCATTCTGCAAAATTAAAATCCAAACGAACAAGTTCATCCACGTGTACCCCCTCCATTTTTCACATCCCCAATCTACCTTCTATGCACTCGCCAAACCCATTCCACACAGTTTTCCTACCACACGCACCCTAATACCTCCCCCAACCACCAAAGGTCATTCTAGACCACTAATCAACCCCCCCCCCCCTCACTGCCTTCCTCATCCCCCCTAACGGGCTCTTTTCCAGTCCCCCTTTCAAAAAAGCGAGTTTTTTGTTTGTTTTACGTGTTATTACGTACGGCTAAATGCGTGATGTTACGCTGTAAAATATGAAGAACAAATCTGTTCAGAATTGTCGATTTGTTCACAACGCTAAATTTCATTGCATTATGACAACGCTAAATGGACTTTTCAAAATTGAATTTGAAAGGGGGGAACTGGAAAAGAGCCCCCTAACGTTTCACGTTTCCCGCCTCCCTAGTTTACCGCGTCCCCCAAGATTTTACCCCCTCATAGGTTAGAGGTGGTTAGCGTAGGTGAGGGGATCAATATTGGGGGTAGCAAACTGGGGGATCAAAATGGTTGGGCGTTAGATTCATCAAACCGGCTAGTTACAAACAAGATAACAATTTTTTAGCAAAAATAAGTCTCATTTTGCAATTTTTTTTAAATGTGCGTTAAATCAAAAGCAACAGCCAATTTGTGAAAATACTCCCTTTTGTTGAATATGTCTGACTAACTTTGGAAAAAAAATGACGTAATCCATTATACTCGATAATAATCAATTAAAATGGATTATATCGATTTGTCAGAGAAATAGTTTCTCATCCATTTTTAATCGATTATAAACTAATCCTTTTGACCTCCGTGGAGACTGGTAATGAAAACATAATTTAATCGATTATTAACCATGAAACTTCAGTGCGGGTGGCAACCTATAAACATTATGAAAGCGAACCCAGAAAGACATTTGATGGTCAAATATTTCAAAAAGAACCCACAAGCGCTGTTTTTGCCACATTTTCTAAGCTTACCTTCCTCGCGAAAATCAATGAACTTAAAGATCATAAACTATAGCTTAAGTATTGTAATTTTTTGCCCCTGAGCTTAAGCATCGTTGTTTTATGAAATCTATTAAATTTTGTATCTTTTAAAGGTCTTGAGTCGCGCTATTTATATTTCGTATGCCACAAAAACAGTCAGACAACCTTGTGTCAAAGTCGTTGCTTGACGCAGACACAACGTTTTTCTCATCCTTTAAAAAAGGATTTTTTTCTTAATCATGGCTTAAATATCAATTTATTGGCAAGTGTAACATTCGTATGTTGTTAATTTCCATCTAAAATGAAATGTTTTGGGTGTTTTTTGTCATGCGCCCAAAATCACCAAACTGATAATCTAGCTCTTATTGAAAATCTTAAGCTGAAATTAATGTCGACCAATTAAACTGGAACATTATAATGCAATGTTCCGGATAACAAAAATACCTCCCTAATACCTCCCCCAACCACCAAACGTCATTCTAGACGACTAATCAACCTCCCCCCCACCCCCCCCCTCACTGCTTTTTTAAAACTATTTGCCACTGATTGAATTTAATTAAAACTTCATTCAATTTCTGATCGGTCTATATCAGTTGATGTAGTTTGTTTATTACGCAATGAAGGATTCAATACCCCCTCCCTCTATCCTCATACGTACTTACCTATAACTGGGTCTGGTAAAGAGGCGAAGAGGGCACCCACTTTGGACAGACAGCCGACCAGGACCATGATCATGGCCCCAAACACAATCACACGACGACTCCCAACCTGTAAACATAAAAAATATATCATGATCATTTCATCAAGGAGCGAACAATTTACTCATGGTTTACAAATTAAACACCGAGGCTAAGCGGAGATTTGCATCAATTGCACCACAACGAAAGCGTAGTATTGCAAGTTACCAAATAGACAGTGAGATCGAAATACTAGCATCGAAAAAAAACAAGGATATGCGGTTGAATATGCGGATAGCACAGAATATTCCGACCATATTCTTAAGAAAATAGAACACTTTTTTTATTTTCATAATTTAAGTGCAGTTTTTAGTGGGTGGTGCTATTCAAGAACTAAACGATCGCGTAGATAATTAATGAATTAGGCATGATTGAAAAACTTTCTTTTCGCAAAAAAAAAACAACCAAACAAAAAATGAACAAAAAAATTAATAAATTTTTTTTGAATTTTTTTCTTATTTAATTTTTTTTTGGTAAAATCAAGTTTGGTGAGCCTAAAACTATTTTGAATATAGTGAATTTTTATATAAGGAACGTTACTCAATATGCTCAAAGTTGAATGAAAAATCAAAATTTTTAAGCAGGTTTTTCTCGACACTGCTTTTTTGGAAAACTTTTTATGTCATTCGAATCACGATTGAAAGGGGTTAAATATGATGTACCAATGAACTCTCTCCGATAATTATTTATCAGGGCGGATTTTGCTTGGAAAACAAAATGAAGAAAAAAAAATAAAACATACCCGAATACAAAGTTCCTCCCCATTCTTAATGGGCGGAACAATAATTGAAAAACGAAATAATTTTTTTGGAAATAAAAAAATTTTGAGCCAAGAAAAACAGACGAGAAATACAACCACTATTATTAAGCGAGCTTTTCGTATTTTTAAGCCAACAACACGTGGTTAGACGGCAATTGATCCGAAGAGAAAAAATGCCAAATAAAAATGCTGTCATCAAAACAATTTTGAGCGATTAAAAAGTTTGAACTTCTAATTTTTATACTACCGACCAACTTGATTTATTCAAAACAGTAACAATCAATTTTTTAATTCCTAAATCTAAGCAAAATAAGTTCACAAAACCGACAAAACATGAGCTAAATTGATTTATGCAAAAAAAAAATTTTGAAAAAAAAAGTTAGTAATTTAAAAGTAATTTTTAAAATCTACAAGAGTTTATCAACGGCACTTGAAACTACAATGAAAACTGCACGGTATCCCGCAAAAAAAAAACGACAGTTGTTAAGACGACAACAATTTTTTTGATGGATTTTAAGACACAAAAAATTTCCAATTTTTTTTTCTAAGAAATTTAATATTTCGCTTCGTTTCGAAAAGTTCAATTTAAAAGTTCTAACTATTAATTTTTGGTCTGATTTCATGTTGTTTTAAATTTTGTCGTCTAATTTACCTAGCACCCATCTAACTGTCTATCGATTGGTCTCGTAGGATAGAGAATAACGAAGCTTCATTTTACACTAGTTTGCCAAATTTTAAAAGTTACTACACAGCTTTTTTAGAGCCATCAATTGGTTCGAACCAAACGTTTTTTTACAAGGAGTGAAGTAAATCGAATGGCAATTTACGCGCAAAATTTTACAACAGACCAGCGATTCGAAACCTTCAAAAAATATAACAAAATTTAGGTTACAAAGCAGTATTTAGCCAACGGCGTATTCATACTCGTCAGTAAGCAGACAAATACTATATTAACTAATAAGAATTGAGACAAAAGAGAAATTAAAATTGAATTATAATTTAGTTCTTAAGTTTGCTTTCTCATCTCGATTCCGATTGGTTAACACAGTATTTGTCTGCTTTAACATGAATGTTGTCTGCTTTAAGAATGTTCCGACGGCTTTTTAAGCTCTATGGAGCAGTTATAACATGAAAAAATTAAATATCATCAAAATAAATTTTTTTTATTTTGAGATGTTTTTTTGTAAAAATCACCCCCACACGCAATAAAAAAACAAAGTGATAGATTTCGCTCCTAGTAACGCATCAGTTATGGCAAAAAGGATTACTTCAATCAATTTGGAACAGTTTCTAAAACTGATTTAATCTCCGCTTACGCAATAATAGCGCAATTTATGTCGCGCGTTAATTGTCGCAAATTGGCCACAATGGCAATCTTTAAACCCCCATAATTTTACGAAAAATGATTACTGGTGAAATATCTTTTTTAAGCTCAAGACAACAATTCTCTTCGAATGATATAAAAATTTTGTGTCAAAAATGGCTAGTTAAAAAGTAGAAATTTGTCTGAAGAAAAAAGCCCACCCCGAGCACAAATTTTCTTTTTACTTTCGTTACGAAAGTCGGAACAATAGTTATTGGTGAAACTCCATAAACTAGGAACGAATTTGGTTATAACTAAAACATCAAAACTTTGTTTTCACAGAAGTTGATTTTAAATATTTTCACAGTTAGAACTATGTTACAGCTTCGCTGATTGGTCTAAATTATCAAATGTACTACAGATAAAAACTAGATTTTAATTTTTGGTAGCACATTTTAGTTGCCGAGTCCAAACAAAGATACTAATCTGTGATTTCTTTTTCATAATTTATGGGGTCTCAAAATTTGACCAATACGGGTTATTTTTGGTTGTTCCTCCATCAAATGATGAGAACCTTTTTGTAATTTCTCCACTCGCAAAAATAAGAAACAGAATGCGTGTTGCGTTGTCAATTTTTTTAAATTTTGAGGTTTGCATATTTCTAGGTTCAGTCACAGCTCTAGGTTGAATCAAGCTGGAAAAAAATTTTTTATCGACACCGAGAAAATTTTATTGAGTTTGAAATATTCAATCATGACTAAACGGGCTTTTTTACTATACCAATTCAGGTCTGTACAAGCTTTCTTAGAAGTGTTTGAAATCTCGCTGCACGCATAAAAACTTTAGTCTGAAAAGGCAATTCGACAGCAGGATTTTGAAAAGAGTGTTTCTTTAAATTGCTGCCCTCAACCCGGGCTGACTACCCGATCGTCAGTACTTATAATTTGCTCTCTTTTAAAGGAATGACACTAGAAGACGTTTGCGGGTGCTTTGCTTTCAGAATGCGACACTTCGCACTAAAACCGGCGTGCAGTTGTGTCGTGTCAACCGGCGACCTTAAACCGAAATTCTACGGTTATAAATAGATTTTCAATCTTCTCTTGATTTCTTTTGTAACGATTTGTTGCGGTACCTTTTGTTTCCGGCACGGTAAGAGTAACCAAATCCGGAAAAGGGAACCCAGACAGCCATTTTAACTTGGGTCAAAATCAACTTCAAGAAGCACAAAAGGTTCAAAAAATCATTGAGATTATAATATCTATCGCACCTATTGTTAAAAAGCATTTAACCATGGACAAATCTATTTATGGTGACCGCTTATTCTTTTATGCTATATTTACATTTGACTGACAGGCGATTATTTTAATCTATAATCTAAACCCAAAAACATCGCATTCGTCATTTGTGACGCCAAAACTTCATCTATGCTAATTTTTCCAACGGCGTCACGTAGCGATTAATCATTTAAACAAACAAAAGCAATAAATCACATCTGCCCTGAAAAAACATCATCATACATAATTTTTCACCCGCCATTATTTCCCCATCTAGCTTTGCCAATTAATTGCCCAATAAACTCTCCTGAAAACATAATTTCTTGTAATCTATGCTGAGCTAGTCAATTTGTATTTTATTAACCTCTGAATGAGTAGTCGGGCATAAAGAAAAAAACTAGGGGCGAAATGAGACACCAAGTTTTAGTTTTATCGATTGTCTTTTTCCTCCTCAGAACTACAATTTCATATAATCAGGAAAACCAGCAGGTAAGTTGAGGTTTCAGTCATTCAAAGAGTCATCTATTCAAACATGAAGACTTTTTTCAAACAAAAATCAAAAAATGAATTGAAAAACTTTCAAATGGTCACATATATAAGGTTTTTGGAGGGGGAGGGAAGAGACGGATGTAATTTTACACATTTAACTGCCCTTTTTCAAAATTTTCCTGCTTTTCTATCAAAAAACACTTCTTATACTGTGTATTTGACATCACATTATCTAAAGAGTCCCTCTCTGATAATTTCTAGCAAAAATTGCATTGATTGAAAGTATGAAACCAACAAAAATTGCAAGTTTCTGAAATCCACAAACAGCCATTTTTCTCGTCCCCTACTGCACTAGTCATCATGAACTTTGGCCGTGAAAAATCACTCAACAAAAGTCAAAACAACAACACATTTTTACTGTTCCAACCGCTGGAAGTGGGCCGGAAAAATGTCTGCGGATTTGTTTGCTTGTATTATTTTTTTCTAGAAGATTTAATTTTTCCTTTAGTGAAATTATAAGATTTATTGAAAAAAATATATATTTTTTTTTTCTGGAATCGCTCTAAAACAGTTCTAAATTTAAACAAAAACTCCACTAATTATTCGCTCCATTTTTTACAATTTTTTATGATCTCAGCGGGCCAAAATTTATGTCATTCTTATGGTTTTTATGGAAATATGTTTCTAGTCGGCCTTATCTTCTTTCAACGTCTCGCCAACCAAAAGTTGTACCTCTTGGTACTATTTTACGACTTCGTATTTCGACTACCCTAAAACTCTTCTAAAGGCACATTTGTCGCCAAAAATATAGTTTTGAAAGTAGCTCGCGCCAAAAAACAGGCGTTTTTTACATTTAAAACTTCAAAACTTGTTTCAAAAAATTGCCTGCGGTGCAGAAAATTTTATTATAATAAGGTCATTATTGTCTCTCAAAAAATCACGAGAGCTCTGAAAATCAAGTTGGTGGACTTATTAAAAAGAAATTTTTTTTCAAAAAAACCCATGAACGTTCACATTAGCGTAACTTTTACTATTGGGTGCAGTTTTCAGTTTCGTATATTCTTGTTTGATAATTTGTCTTTTTGCTACCTAACTGAAAACCCACCTTAAAAATTTTCAACTATATGAATCTCATATTGAATCTATAAACTTTTTCGACAATTTAGAGATTCTGTGTTCATTTATTGGGCGCTTAGTAATTCGTT